TATCTCTCGCTAGAATCTCCCTCCATCCAACTAACAACAACAACAACGTCAAGCCTTTGGGCTCTGAAACTACGGGTCGGGCCGAGGACAAATACACATGCATTAATCGCACGTTCAAATAATTAGTGGCGTTAAAAGAAAAATCCGTTAGCGTTATTAACGCGTTAACTTGACAGCCCTAAATTAAACCTAAGAATGTAAAAGTAAAACATTTCAATAAGATAAAGATATAATAACCAAATAACTTCAAGTTAAAATGTGCACAATTCCAACAACCTTCTAAAAGGCAGTACCTTGTTCTCTTCTCCTACTTCCTGAATTACCTAGTAAATCAAGAAAGTATCATTGAAGACAGATTTGATCAAATTAGAAAATATAAGGTGACTGCCTTTACTCTCGGGTGTAAATCACTTTATATGAACTGTGTTTTGATGTTGGATAACAACATCTGCAGGCCATGTGTGCAGCTGATCACATCCAGTCCAGATGCCCTGCAGCGAGTGGTTGGAAGGTGATGTTGTGTTTGCAGGCAGCACCCGTCCTGGGGCATCAATACTCACCTCTGTGTTGCTGCTGCAATCTTCAGTAAGGCTGATTGCAACAAGAGCGATAACGACCGGCGCTGAGTTAGAGGAGCAATAAAACAGACTTCCTGGTGATAAACGCAGCAGCGTGAGAAGAAAGTCGATATAGTCAGAACTTGATATCATGTTTGGGTGTTTTGACCTATGATACTGAGCCTAGTGAGTCAAATGCATAGAAAGGGTGTAAGCTAACTTTTCTGGTAACACTTTTGTATGACACCAGAACGTTTTATTTAAAATAAAGGGAGAAAAAACGTCATCAAACCACACATGCAATGTTGTTTAATTAATTTGTTTAATGGGTCTGATTTGAATTGCATTATTATATATAACATATATTAGAGATATAAAACACTATGAAAGAAAGTTAATTGAAGGACCTTCAATTCTGAAATTATTCTTGACCCAAAAAGTCATAACTAAATGCTTTATAATTTAATAATAATAACTGTGATTATTTCTGTAAAGCATTACTGATATTTGTTTGTTAAAAGCTGATTTGAACACAATGAAGATATCTTTTTTGAGCTTTTATAGACTGGGGTGTCATAGAAAGTGCTTTTTATGACCGTCATTAATGCATGGAATATTCATAGTGCCAGTTGTGTTCACAATCTGAATGTGTGTGTGTGAGCGTGTGTGAAGACAGAAACGCATGCCACAGACCTTGGGAAGCGAGACACAAATGTGTGTGTGGGCCTTCCTAGAGTGTTTCACATCATTATTGTGTGTGTGTGTGTGTGTGTGTGTGTGTGTGTGTGTGTGTGTGTGTGTGTGTGTGTGTGTGTGTGTGTGTGTTTTGGGCCTGCTTTGTCTGCTTGAGTAAATCTGTAGCTGATATAATGTCTGTGTAAATTCACTCTCGGGCCGTGTGTGTTGATCTTGTTTATGTGTCCGGGACAGTGGTTAGGGCGTGACGGATGGGGAGGGGGACACAGAGAGGAGAGAAGATAAATGACCTGACAGCCCCCCTATTCAACTCCTAATCACTGGGGGGGGGGGGTGTGTGTATGTGTGTGACAGAGAGATGCACTGTTTGTGTTGTGGGGGTGATCAGGTGTGTGTTGTGCATTTTTGAGTAAGAATGTATTATTATGAATTTAATCTTTAAAAATCAAACACGGGATCTGCACCTCCATACTTTCTGTATCCTCTTCTTTAAAAAGCAACTCTTAGTTAACATTCAGGTAATATCTAGTATATCAGAATCAACAATATTTGCATTTTGTGGAAGTTTCTCCAATTTAAAATAAAAGCAAGTACAAGATAAATAATACAAATAAAATACAAATATTTATATAAGAAGCCAAAGTGCAATAAAATAATCAAAAATGTAATTTAAGATATATTTATATATATATATATATATAAATATAACATAAGAAGTTAAGGTAAAATTCACAGTAAAATATGTTTTTAATTGAATACAAGTATGTATTTAAACTAGGGCTCTCAGTCGATTCAAATATTTAATCGCACATTTTGTATCTGTTCTAAATGTACCTTAGAGGAATATTTTTCAAGTTTTTAATACTCTTATCAACATATGAGTGGACAAATATGCTTTATGCAAATGATTGTTTATTATCATTGTAACAATGAGAAATATTCTCCTGAATATTTTCAATACAACAACCTGGAACTCTCTCTCTCTCTCTCTTACACTCTCTCCCAACCCTGTCTACTTCTTTGCACTGAGCCAGTTGCTCAAACAGACAAGCCTGTTTACAGTTGTCGGCGAAATGCCGCTCCTCTGTCTTCATAACAGTCAAAGCATGAGACTGAAGTTCCCACAGGGGTCAAAATAATGCGCTGTGATGTGCAGTCGACANTTGTGTGTGTGTGTGTGTGTGTGTGTGTGTGTGTGTGTGTGTGTGTGTGTGTGTGTGTGTGTGTGTGTGTGTGTGTGTGTGTGTGTGTGTGTGTCAGAAGGACAAACGTCGGTGTATTAATGGCGTCTCCATTATTTCTCAGTCTTTCATTAATAGCTGCTGTTTGTGTTATTTATCTTTCATTCCTCGACACTGCCTTTACACGTTTCTTATTTTATTTATACCTTTTGATTGCTTTTTACTCGTTATGCTCACTAGATAGGAAAATAATGAGATTATTATTATTTCCAATTGTGAAAATGTCCCCAGCCCAATTATAAAAACATCCTATCCAAAGAAGGTAATAATAAAACATGAGTATTTTTCCTTTTCCTGTTGGGTTATATCTTTTAGTTATACTATTAACCCTGTTTGACCTTGAACTACTCCTTGTTGCAGTTCCATTGGAGTCTAATTTAGTTTTCACCCACTCATAACCTCATCTCCTTTTTAAGCAAGTGCAAGTTTGATTAAAACCTCTCATAAACAAGGCCTCTGTCAGTAGCCAGGTTAGCTTAGCTTAGCACAGTGGAGCCGCCAGTCTGCAAAGTCGGGAAACATTTATTTCCACTTTCTTTTGTGTGGATTAAAAAAACAATATGTATGTGTTCTTTTCATATTGTTTATTTTTAGAGGCATATATTGTTGCCTTGGAGCCAGGCTAGTTTACATTTCTATTCCTACTGCTAAGCTAAACTTCACTAGCTTGCTCTGCCAGTTTGCATTTTGTAATTTGTGATGATAAAGAAAGGTTCAATAAGACAATATCCACATTGGGCTGCATGGTTCCTCAAGGGCAAGCACATGTAATGCAAGATTCATACAGGCAGATACTATAAATAAAAGAAATAAGATGTCCATGTTACTGAAGTCATATAGCAGCTACTGTTTAGGTGCAAAGCCTGAAGCATGGCTATATGAATCTCCTCTCCTCTCTCCTTGCTGGGAATATCAAAGCATAAAAAGAGAGTTTTGTCTCTCGATTTCTCTAAATAAATAGTGCCTTTATGGCTCAAGAAAAAGTGACCATTTCTCTTTCCCTCTCTAGAATAAGATTTGTATTTGCAAACTGAAATATGTACTCTGTAGGACATAATCGGACATATTTAATAAGATAACAAAAAAAGAAATAGCTGTAATAAACCCAGACTACTTTAGAAATCGCACTTACACACATTTTTGTAATCCAATGGACGTGACTAATTCCCCCAAAAATATTGTTTTCAATAAATGACTAGATGTTATACTTATATGATCCAACTTTGAATACTAATATTGCCATTGTTCTCTTCCTCTCTGCTCCTAATGTAAATCACTCTCCCTGTAACTCTGGATGTATTCCTCTCATGTTGTCTCTATTAGTATGACAAACATGTTCTTTATTCACCCGAGCTCATTGATCTCTCTCTCTCGCTGCTAATGAGCTAAGTGAGGTTTGTGTGTTGCTCGACTTCCTGCTCGCAATTATGGGATTCCTGAGTGATTGACTGTCGGATAAACGCGGTAGTAATTTCTGTCCATCTGCGGGATGTGTGAGATCTATCCATAGACTATATATAGAAAGTGAGGCGGGCTAACAGGGCTTCACACCTGATACCCAGGAAGTCCTCGGGGACTCTTTCCTTGCTTCTGAGCTCTGGTTGTGGGTGCGCATTTAGAAAATAAAGGGGATGTGGGGTCATGAGTGGCAGGGGTTTACTTTGCTTTAAATGCCACTTAAGACTCTGACATTTGGCGTCGTGTGCAAAGACAGTTTTTTTCAAACTTTTCACCCAGTTTACATTCCTTCACTCTCAGCCTCCCCTCGGGGACATTACAAAGCGATGAACACATCTACTGCTGCTCCCAGGCCATATTAGCATATCGTCCTTTCACTGAATCCCTTCAAATAACATTTCTGCTTTTCTTTCTGCTAATCTCTCTCCTCCTTCCTTTCCCCCCCCATCATCACCGTCATCATCTTCATCCTCTCCCTCCGCCTCTTATAGCAATTCAAAGCAGACATGGCACATTGTTAAAACGCGCTTACGAGAGTAAGAAAAGGCAACACATGTAGTGATGACATTAACTCCCAACAATTACATCTCTTTCCTCTCTGTGCTTTCTCATTCACTCTCCTCATCTTGGTTAATTTAGGGGGCTTGATTGGCATGATGATACTTCTGAGGCAAACAAACAACAACAAAATCTAAACAGATGTAATTACTTCCAACTGTTGACATTTAGCCTGTGTGTTTTTCTCGCAGCGTTTAACGTGCTCTGTAGTATTTTAATGTGGTTTTGGTGTCATTATGTGTGCATCTATCAATGCGAAGTTGTATTTTTACAAACGTTTAAAACAAGCTCTGAAGCGAGATGTTGTCTCCAAAAGAACTGCGCTCTCTTCTTTCAAGTGATTCCTCTGTAGAATAGAGAGTGAGCTGATTGCTGTATGGGCTCTCGTCTCTTTGTAACTTTTTGGGTCAAGTTGCATCTAACAGTACAAACCCTTTGTATAAAGACGATGACAAATTAAAACCCTCTCCTCTGTTTATCCTCTCTCCAGACCAACATCCCGTTCCTGCAGAATGTGTTTTCCAACCACCAGTTCCTCAACTCCACCGTGGACACCCAGTTCATCGACGAGAACCAGGAGCTGTTCAACCTCAAACCCACTCAGAACCGGGCCCAGAAACTGCTGCACTACCTGGGTCAGTGTGTAAACAGCACACGCACTCGGATGCTGTCACGTAACACCTGTGTTTTCCTCATTGTCTCAACAGAATGCTCAGTGTGTAATATATGTTCTGCTTTTATCCCCCTCTTCAGGTCATGTGATGGTGAACGGACCAACCACACCCATTCCAGTCAAAGCCAAGCCTTCCTCCATAGACCCTGTCATCCCTCCTGTTACCTTGGGTATGTCAATTTAATGCAATTCAGCAAATCACCATGCATAATTCAAGGTCCTTCACGCCGTATTATGCAAACCGAGCTACAACTCCTGAGTCACATTGATGAGAAAAAGTGCACCAGTGCATTCAAAGCAGTTTGTGCAAAAAAGCTGTTTTCACAGTGTACATCTGTGTGTAGGACGAGGTGTCGGCCACTGATAGGTTAATATGGTGTTTAGATAGTGTCACAACAGGAAATGTTGCCATGATAATACAACAATGCATCATCCTTTTTAAAATGCATTTATTACTTTTGGACTCATTTAGCAAGGTACCGCCAAAGCCAGGGGTTCAGAGTTTCATTTCCCCTCGGGCTACCATTCTAAAAAAGTAAACACTTGTGGATCCGGAGGGCACTTTGGATAAAAACACCCGCCGAATGACAAATGGGCTGTCGAGCCGTCCGATAGCTGAAGGCGGGAAAGGCCTTCCTAAATGGCTCAGTTTAGCACTCAGGGAGGAAAAGGGTTTTGGCCCAGAGTGCTCTGCTGAGCTGCGAGTACAGCGGAGAGAGGGAGCACTTCATTGTTTGCAAAGGCAGAAGTTGTTCTCACTCCGCTCTGCACCAGCACCCCCGCAGAGAGGCCGGCAGCCAGGCCCGTCCCTGAGGGGTTCTGGATCTGAGCTATGCTGGGTTTCTTTTCTCCTAACCCTAACTTCAGAGATAATGGGGATCCCTGAAAGGCTTAACTAAGGCGTGTACTACCGCTTGATTTCATTATCGAGTATACAGACCATTTTTTTCTAGATTGATCGTTTGATCAATACATTTGTGAAAAGTGTCCGTCACAGTCCTAAATCTCGTGGTTTTTCCAAAGCTTGAACATATTCCCAAAATATGATAAAATAAGATAAAAGAAAGAAATCTCCATATTTGAGAAGCTGGAAGGGTCTTTCATGAAATGTTGAACAACAATAACTTTACCGTTTATGAAAATAGCTGATTTTTGTTGTTGTTGATTGACCAATCGATAAGTTGACAAAGTGATGAGGATTGGATATGCTCTGTTTTTCAAGTTTATACAGTACCAGTCAAACGTTTTGAAACACCTTCTTATTCAAACACCTTATTATTCAATCTACATTGAAGATGAATACTGAAGACATCAAAACTATGAAAGAACACATATGGAAATATGTAGTAACAAAAAAGTCTACCTTATGAAACTGATCGAGAGAATGCCGAGTGTTCAGAGCTGTCATCAAAGCAAAAGTGGGCTACTTTGAAGAATCTCAAATAAAAATCATATTCTGGTTTGTTTAATGCGTTTTTTTTATACTACATAATGTGTCCTTTTATAATCTTGATGTTATCAGTATTAATCTACAATGTAGAACATCATTTAAATAAATAAAAACTATTGAATTAAGTGTGTCCAAACTTTTGACTGGTACTGTATGTGTTATGTAAACTTACAAATGGGTATAAAGTTGTCTTCTTTTTCATTTGATGCCAGTTTTAGTGTCAGATTCACAATGATGCTTTCTTTAGTCGTTCTCCACCGTGCTCCAGTGTTAACGCTCGTTCGGGTGCTAACGGCCTTGCATTTCTGCAGCTGCTCCCTTTGACAGTAACAAAACAGTCCGCTGTATCAATCTGACATGTTTATCAGCACCCTGTTCTGCCTCAGCACATACCCCAGCGTGCACAGCAAACACAAACCTAAAACAAAATAATGTGAATAATATGAATCCTAATCAGGCATCACTAATCGAATCTGACATCTAAAAACCGTGCACAGTGGAACGGGGTGGAGGAGAAAAGGGAAGAATGATCCGCCATGTTTGCACGTCTCCTTGTGAGTTAGCGAGTCTCTGTGCTTCCCCTACACTTGTCTACTTATGCAAATCTAGTGTTGACACTCCCACCATCGCCCGCCCCTCTTATGCAGCAAACACACGTGCATTTACTCTGGAAAATCACACCGACTCGTACTGTACTATAGGCACACGTCCTCTGATGTGCATGCCCCCACTTACCTACTGTAAGGAGCTGATGAAGTATGCAGCACAGAGGCATACCTAAAGCCTAGTAATGAGATTTGTAATGTGCTTATATCCTTTCTTTCATTCCACGGAGGGATTGAGAAGAGAGGGATTAGGCCTGTATTATCGCCCTCTGTGGAGGGAGGGACACAGACGGGAAGGGGTTATGAAAATAGAGGCAGCATAATAAATACATGTATTACGCTGACATGGATAGATGAAACGATGAGATAGAGATAAACAACATGAGATATATTTATTGGGAATTATGTTTATTGATTATCCTGGACAAAATAATTGTGATTCAAGATATGCTCCTGATAATATACGCATGAATCATGAGGTCCCCCTGCATGAATACATGAAAAATAATATAGCAACATTGTTATTTCTGTATTTCCTTTTTCACATGATCATTTCTGTAGGTTTTGAATTGATGGCGAGCTTTAAAGCTTGTTCAACCCACCCATGACATATCTATGAAGGTAGATATGGTGCAAAATGCGAGAGCTTGTAAAACCTGATGTGAGCACTAGCAGAAAAAAAATCTGACCTTGTGCATACATTTACACTTGTAAATATCCACGTATCTGTGAACCAAATTTGAAGTCACAGAAAGAAAAAAAAAAAAAAAGTTTTGTAGCTTGTAGAAATGTTCACTTGCAGAAAAATATACTTTTTTAAAATATATTTTCTGCAACTTGGTTAATACAACCTCTCAAATCAGTCACTACAACTTCACGAATCTGCTCTGTGGCAGTATAAATCGAAAAATCTGCGGCCTTGACTTTTGCTACACTTCTTGCGATGAATGTGTCGCTAAAGTAATTTTCACCTGTAGATGTGGCTGGAGGGAGGGGGGTTGGAGCGAAGGGGCGGAGCTATCAGAACGACGAGGCGCAAACTCAGTCACAGCCATAGTCTGGTCGAACCGGATACTTTGACCATCCGTTCGCTGTTATTGATCATGGAGAGCAGGCAGGCGTTTTGTATTATAGCAGCTATCAAATGGAATCAATACATGGGCTGCACTGGTTGTCATGTCCGACTATCACAAGTAGAATCATAATGAAAAATATGCCGGTAAAATGTGCCTGTAGAAAACGGCTTACAATTGGATTGCAACAAGTAGTCAATATCGTCAGTTTGCTATTCTCGGTTGCTGTGCTAACATCACCCATTTTATACCAAAGAAACTTTCATAACAGCGTTGTGATGCCAAACAGCGTCAATTCAGACAGACACACATTCACTTATGGGGAATTGGGGATATTTATCAGCTGAGTCATTCCTAGCATTCGGTGCGATTTCAGCTAGGTTAATAAAAAAATAAAAAACATAATTGTCCATGTTTCTTTTTATTTAATCAGAATGATGGCTTGTTAAAGTATAAGAAAAAATATTTTGGTCAAGCTCAGGATATTATGTTTTTTAAAAATATATTTTTGTAACATCCCCAGTTACTGTGAGTCCACCCTGTTAATGTGAAACCATAGACTGTGTGAAACATATTAACAGGTTTGACATTTTATGCTAAACTTTGCTTTTGCTACATGTGTGATGATAATCAAGCTAGCACTTGGTGACAACAGAAACACATATTTGATAGATATATTTACCATATTTTCTAAATGTAAAACAAATGATCAGTTTCCACTAAAAATGAGCATAACAGGGGCGAGATTTATGCTTTACCGCAACAGTTAAGTTCTTTAAAAACGGAAGAATGCAGGAAGAATGCGTACAGTGTACACTTTGCTTCTTTAAGATGATTTTCCCACTCAAAATGTATCCTTCCTCTTGAGTCATACAAATAGTAGAGTATTAAAGGGGCGTGTCCAGAGGGATTCAAATCAGAGTAACAGGGGGGACATTCAAACAGGGGACACACACACAAAACTTGAAACCATAAAAATGAATTAATAAAAACAATTTTAATTTGGTGAGGAATTTTAGCAAAAGGGTTATACAACAGTGACAAAAATGTAGAATTAGTTTGTATTTCTTCGATTTCTTTTTTTATATCTGTCTTTTTTAACACAGTAATTTGGCGTACTTGTGCTAAAATCTGAGTAATTATTTGGAATTTTGAATATCCTGGGTAAATAACATTGTTGTTTTATGGTAGAGGGGATACACATTTAAAACCAAGCTTTAAAAAAATAAGCGTTAGACCTTTTAAATACAAAATATATTATATAATGTGTTGGGGACCTAAATGGCACCGAATGCTAGGAATGACTCAGCTGCTTGTGTGACAGTCAGACAGTGAAGACTTTACAGCGGCCGCTGCCGTGAGTTAACGGGAGAATAAACTCCGATGGACGAGCAGCACTGCAGCGGTCGGTAAATGCCGCTGAAACACATTAATAAACAATGAACCACGGCACTCTGGAGAAAAGTATAAGGTTTGAGGAGTAGTTATTTAATTTAATCTGGCTCTGGGTGGGCTCTGGGCGGTGTGAGCAAAACGGTGGGAAGAAAAACCGGTTCCGAACCAGGAGAGCGCAAGCACGTAGCTAGAACGGGAGCTGCGTTGGTGTGAAAGGGGCATGTGTGTGACTCACCCGAGTTTGCGCCTCGTCGTTTTGATAGCTCCGCCCCTTCGCTCCAACCTCCCCACCCTCCCCCACATCTACAAGTTAAAATTACTTTAGCGACACATTCATCACAAGAAGTGTAGCAACAGTCAAGTCTGCAGATTTTTCGATTCATACTGCAACAGAGCAGATTCGTGAAGTTGTAATGACTGATTTGAGAGGTTGTATTAACCAAGTTGCAGTATATTTAAAACATTTATATTTTTCTGCAAGTGAACATTTCATCACTAAGTTAATTTATTTTCTACAAGCTACATCACTTTTTTTTTCTTTCTGTGACTTCAAATTTGGTTCACAGATACGTGGACATTTTATACAAGTGTAAATGTATGCACCATGGTATGCACACAAGCTCAGGTTTTACAAGCTCTCGCATTTT